TAAATGCAGCACTCTCCTCCCAGTCCCACCCTGTTAAAGAGGGTCTGGAAAAGTTCCCCCACACATCAAAGTGATTTTTCATTTATGAGCTTTTATAACCTTGTTAATCAGGATAGTTGATTTGCTGCTGCACATAAACTGTCAGTCAGAAGCTCTGCTAGCCGGTTATCTTAAGAGGAGCTAGTTCAATTTGTTAGCTTGTTATCAGAATCATAGTTGCAGTTTCATCATCTGAGCTGCTTTTTAACATCTAGGTAAACTTGTTCAATTTGGGGTTAAAAACAAACGTTTTCACATATTTTCCATGTAGTTTTTTTGCCAGTTCCTCTTCTGAAAGGTAGACAATTGTTTTTCTCTTTCCCTCAGAAAATCTTAATATTCTCCTAGTTAGGCCCGGCACAGTTCACTTCCCAATTACAGCAACAGCCTTATATCATAACCACAGAAGTGGAGAAAATGCTCAGTAGCAATGAGAGAATTTGCTGTTGCATTTAAGTGATGTTAACTATTATTTAACATTTAAACTTATTTTCTGATTTTTTTATTTATTCAAAAAACCCTGGTAAGGGATGTTTTTCTGTATTTGGAGCATCAGGAAAAGTTTTATGGTGGAGGTGATGTTTTAAAGTCACTGAGAACCTGCATGCATGCAGTTTGTTGTTTTGCTGCTAATACAGTAGCAGGTGCAGCTGCATGTTTTTGCAATAAAAATGTTATGTTGTAATGGAATTCATGCATTAGTTTTTGTTTGCTTTGAACCCAGAGCAGACGTCACACGCCAGACGACATCAACACTGCATACTTTGGTATTTGTTCATTTATCGTGAGTAATATCGATATCGCAATATTAAGCACTGTTATCGAATATCGCAGGTTTTCCTAATATCGTGCAGCCCTAGTCTGCTCTGTCTTCTCAATCCTCAGTGAGTTGTGGAGGATGGCTGCTTTTACTGAGCCAGGATTCTCTGGAGGTTTCTTCCTGTTAAAAGGGAGTTTTCCTCTCGACTGTCGCTTTATGCTTGCTTAGAATGAGGATTGCTGTAAAGTCGCTGACACTAGTCAGTGACTTGATGCAATTTTCTGGGTTCCTTATATAGGAAACATTATTTTTGATTGGCTTAATGAACTGACCTGGATTGGAATGTTTATTATGTGAAGTGCCTTGAGACGACTCTTGTTGTGATTTGGTGCTGTATAAATAAAATTGAATTGAATTGAATATGCACACTCAAACATAAATTGTCTAAGAATATTCACTTTCTAGTTCTATTTACCTCGGAAGTTGGGACTAGTAGCTGGGAAAGACGTCACACCCGTCTTGTGGGGATTCCAGTGTGGATGTTTGCTTCGTGACTAAATAGGATGAAGCTGTTAAAGACTTGGACACATCAGAACCACATTTATTTGTAAAAATAAAGACAGCTGCATGTAACCTTGATTTATGATGCACCCACAGGTGTGT